CAAGGCAGAGGCGGCGCTGGTGGCCAAGGAGCTGCGGACGCTTCTGGAAGAGGCGGTGCCACTATCTTGCGCCCTCCCCAAGGTCACGCTACCCAACTATGACAACGTCCCAGGCAATCTCATGCTTAGCGCACTGGGCTTGCGCCTGGGAGACCGCGTGCTGCTGGATGGCCAGAAGGTCAGGGGCTGGGGTGTGTGTTGGCGTGGTGGGTGGGGGTGGGACTTAGCCCCTTAATCCCTTGGAACTGTATCCTTGGGCAGAGTGCAGTCCGTCCCCTTTGTCTGCTTGCTGTCCTAACTATCCACCCAGTATTTGATTTCGTCTCAGTTGTTCCGTGGTGTCTCCTTTGAGCCTCACCTTGTGCTGAGCTCTCCATCCTGGGGGGGAAACAACTCATCATCTGACAGTGACGGCCGAGAGCGGTCATGGCTGCCATGGGGAGGGGTGAGCAGAGTGATCTGCGCAGCTCTGTGCACCTGTGGCTCCCCCTGGGTCTTGTGGTCCTCGATCAGGCCCCTTCGCTCTCAGAGGCAAGTCTGGCTAGGAAAGTCCAGGCCAGAGTGATTGGAGTGTGATGGGGAATGCACCCAAATTGCAGATGTGGAGGAGCAAGCCAGGGAAATAAAGGGAGAAAGGAGTCTCAGCTAGGGGGAGCGAGTATCACAGCCCAGAGGGCAGAGAGAATCTTCATTTATCCAGGGACTCCAACTTCATTTCCTGGTGTCCCTCAGGCTCCATACGGGACCCCGGTCTGTCCTTAGGGAGGGAGGGCTGTGTCTGCCCCTGCCCTGCTCTCATGGAGCTCCACTTGTAATGAAGCGGAGACAGTCAAGAAAGTAAACCTATGGTTGAGATAATTTCTGGGTTGGGCATGGTGGTTTACACCTGTAATCCCGGCATTTTGGGAGGATCACTTGAGGCCAGGAGTTGTTAGAGACCAGCCTGGGCAACATAGCGAGATCCCGCCTCTACTGAAAATAAATAAATAAATAAATAAATAAAGTAAGTTCTGGTAGCAACAAGGGCTGTGAACACCATTACATGTTTGGATTTAGTAAACTGTCCCTGGCTGAATGCTGGGGTGGTTTTAGCTGGGGTGTTCTGAGAAGGCTTCTCTAAGGAGGTGATGTCCAAACTAAGACAGGAAGGAGCTTCCTCTGCAAAGGTAAGGAAGCAGAGGATACAGTAGGTATGGAGACACAGAGGCAGGAAGGGGCGGTGTGATGAGGGAGTTATGGGAAGCGGGGTGAGGTGGAGAGGTCAGCAAGGCTGGGTCACAGCAGACCTGTAGGCTACCCGAAGAAGTTTGAATTTTGTTTTTGTTTTTTTGAGACAGGTCTCGCTCTGTCACCCAGGCTGGAGTGCAGTGGCGCGATCTTGGCTCACAGCAACCTCTGCCTCCCAGATTCAAGCTGTTCTCATGTCTTAGCCTCCTGAGTAGCTGGGATTACAAGTGTGTGCCAACAAGCCTGGCTAATTTTTTATTTTTATTTTTAGTAGCAGTGGGTTTCGCCATGTTGGCCAGGCTGGTCTCAAACTCCTGCCCTCAAGCGATCCACCCACCTTGGCTCCCAAAGTACTGGGATTACAGGCATAAGCCACTGCGCCCGGCCCCATCCAGAAAGCATTCTGATGTACACGATCTAATTGTATCCATTGCACAATTCTGAAAGTTTGGGTTGACTCTTCCCATTTTGTAAGCCAGACTATAAAAGCCTCCAACAGGTAAAAATCTTTATCTGAAGACACGGAATACCAATCACTGACCCTTAGAGAAGCAGCATAGCACAGCGTCATGGGCTCAGGCTCAGGGACTTGCCCAGGTAAATCTCAGCTTTGCAACTTCCCAGCTGTGGGACCTGGAGCCAGTGATTCCGCCTCTCTGGGCCTCAATGTCTTCATCTGTAAATGGAGATAATAATAGTACCCACGTTAGGGGGCTGGTTGAGGTTTAAATTAATTAAAATGCATAAGGCCATTAGAACAGAGTCCAGTGCATACTAAATGCTCTTTGTGTGTGCCAGACACTGTTCTAGTCCCTCCACCAACCCTCTAAGATCAGCACTAATTAATTAGCCCATGATATGGACAAGGAACTGAGACATGGAGAGGTGAATGAGCCTCCCATAATGATGATAACCACACTCACTAAAGGCTCACTGCAGTTAAGCAACTTTACATGTATTAAAAATGTTTCAGCCGAATGCAGTGGCTCATGCCCATAGTCCCAGCACTTTGGGAGGCAGAGGCAGAAGGATCGCTTGAGCTCAGGAGTTCAAGACCAGCCTGGGCAACATAGTGAGACCTCATCTCTACTAAAAATGAAAAAATTAACCAGGCATGGTGGCGCACACCTGTAGTCCTAGC